GAGGACCAGTGGCATCATGGGATGATGTCTTGACTGACAAGTGAATTGGATTTAAGTGAGGCAGAGCTGTGCCGAGTTATCAGCCTCACTGTCCCCTCCAGAGTCATCAGAGTCCAGTGACAAGACGTAAGTTAGGACGACTGGCGATGGCCCAGATGCTGTGGGAAACCATGGCCTTTCTAAGCTAGGGTCTTTCCTGGGTCTCAGTTTGTCTGAGGCAAAGCCCATTTAGTAATTAAAGGCTAGGGAAGAACTGAGGCAAAAGATGGCCTAGTTTGACTCCAAGAAAGAATGAATCTGATAGGGGAAGACTCTCAGAGTCTCTGGCCAGAACAGAAGCAGTTACTGTTACACTCATTCTGAGCCATCAAAGCTCAACAGAAACAAACAAACACACACACACACACACACACATACACACGAGCATGCATGCTAATAGCAAGCATGTGACATCTGGAATGATTTGAGGGACATTGTCACTGATTTATTAGGTAAAAGATTCCTCTCTCCCACTATTTAATTAGGATTACCAGACCCTCTTACCTCTTAACCCTTCTCCCCCAAATGTAACAAAAGCCCAGGGAAGACCGTGAAATTGCTCAGAATCAGGGAGAGGCGTTCCCCATTTCCCACATCTGATTTTATGAAGTCAGCCTTCAACCATTAGGCCCGTTCTAAACCAGGCCTGTAGCTGCAGGAACCCTAGAATATCTAAGGCCAGTTCACATTCCTGAGTGGGAACAGGAAGGGATGTAAGAAGGAGGACTCTGAGAGCCCAGTCATGGGAATTAATGTTCATAATGAACTTCATAGACTCCACAGCACTTTGACTTAAGCCTTAAGTGACTTTAAAGGAGGAAAAAACCTCTAGGAAGTTTAACACTGTCTACTGGCTGCCTGTTTCACAGAGCACTCATCTAGCAGGATTTGCCTACTGTCCCTTCTTAAAAACAAGAGAAGGGTAAGGTAGGGATTTTACTTACGCACAATAGAGAAAACAGTACTTACTCACAATAGAGAAAAACAATAACTGAGAATTTCAAGTAAAAAATAGACATTTTGATGTGGAATGGCACTTGTCAGAGTGACAGGGAATTTACCACAATGGAACACTGATTGTGCAACTTTCTATTCCTCTGAGGAAAACATTATGCAAATGAGTGTCCCTGGATGGGGCAACTGGTATACTTCTTGTAATGAAGTTTTTAGGTAGAACATGGAATATATTATAGAAAGCATTAAAATGTGAGAACAATACTAGCTGTCTATGTGCATATATGGGAAGCTAGGTGGCATAGTAGATGGACTTATGAAGACCAGAGTTCAATTGTAACTCCTAACACTAGCAGTGTGACCCTGAATGAGACATTTAACCTCTTTCTGCCTCAGTTTCCTCTTCTGTAGAATGGGGATAATAATAGCACCTGCCTCCCAGAATTGTTGTGAGGATAAAACATTATATTTGTTAAGGACTATGTAAGCCTTAAAACTTGAATGCTAACTCATTGTTATTACTAATTATTATTATTATTGTTGGCTGACTAATTTAAATGTATTACTAATTATTAAATCTACCTTTGAGTTACAAGGCTTTTTTTTCCCCCTAAATATATTTGCTACTATTGCTATAGGGCACCTGGGTGGCACAGTGGATAGAGCACCAGGCCTGGAGTCTGGAAGACTCCTCTTTGTGAGTTCAAATCCCGACTCAGACACTTAGACCTTGGGCAAGTCACTTAACCCTGTTTAACTTGGGTTCCTTATTTGTAAAGTGAGCTGGAGAAGGAAATGACAAATCAGTGTCTTTGTCAAGAAAGCCCTAAATGGGGTCATGAAGAGTCGAACATGGCTGAAAAAGACTCAACAACAACAAAGCTTTTAAATAACTTTTAGAACTTGTATCTGTGCTTTTGCACTATTTCCTTTGGATCTCACAATGACATTGTAACATCAGCGGTCTAAGCATTATTGACATCCTTGTTTTATAAATTATTAAATTAGAGCCGAGAGAGTAAAGTGAGTTGCCCAAGGTCACACAAGTATTGTCAGAGCTGGTATTTGACTTTAGTTTCCAGCTCCAAGTCCATACTTACTTTAATCCATCCTGTTCCGTAGTGTGTTCAGTTGCGTCCAACTCTTTTTGACCCTGTGGATGGTAACACACCAATGCTGTCCATGGACTTTTCTTGATAAAGATACTAGAGTGGCTTGTCATTTCCTTTTGCAGTGGATTAAGGCAAACAGGTTAAGTGACTTGCCCAAGGTCACACAGCTAGCAAGTGTCTGACGCTGGTTTTGAACTCGGGTCTTCTTGACTCCAGCCCAGCACTATCTGCTGAGATAAGGGCCAAAAGGAAACTCAGGTAGGTATTACCAACTGTTTTTCAAAAGTGAAACTACCAATAATATATAAACAATTCTTTAAATGTTGGGATGCATGATATTATGGAGAGAACACTGGACTGAGAGCTAAGGAAGCCTGGGTTGGAGTCAAGGTTCTGCTGCTGCTCACTTTCTGTGTGACCTTGGGAAATTCACTTTGACCCTGGGAGACTCAGTTTCCTTGGCTGCAGAGGGAAAAGGTTGGATTGGATCAATTCTTCACCTATCTTTATGTCATAGATCCCTTTGGCCATCTGAAGGCTAGGGACCCCTTCTCACAGTAATGTTTTTAGATTCATAAAATAAAATTCTTAGGATTATAAAGTAAATTATTACATTAAAATGTAGTTATAAAAACAAGTTCATGGACCCAAGTTAGGAACCCCCAGACTAGATGATTCCTCAGACTCCTTCCAACCCTTACATTTTTTGATTTAGCATGCAGCTTATTCTAAACCACTCAGCCCCACCAGCTAGCCCTGAACTCTCTAGGAATTTGGGTGGTAGAGTAAGTGTACCAGTGGCAACTGCCTATCCCTTCAGAGCTAATGTTTGGGGAAGGATATACCTTATGGTCATGGTACAGTTGCAGCTGTGGTTGAGGGAGGAGCTGGTCTCAGAGATAATCTTTCTTAATAGCTCTCTGGTTCCCACCAAAAAAAACAGAAAGCAGAACCTTCCCAAACTTGGCCACGAAACTGTGAAATACACTTCCCTCTAAAAATCCTTCAAATACTTCTGTAGAACCTCTGATGCCATAATTTGGGCCACAACCCAAGGTGGAAAACAGATGCAAGAAGTGATAACACTGATCTTGCTTTAAAAAAAACAAGTTGTCATGTGTTTCAGGAATATAGCATACATGTATTTAAAAACATTTATTTTCTGTTATCAAACATGTACTTTCTCTCTCTCCCACTATCTCACCTCCATTGAAGAAAGAAATCTTTCTAACACAATGCAGCTAGAGAAAGTGATTTATCATCATCAAGCTATTCTACCAAGAGGATATATGTCCCTTCCTTTGGAGGACACTTATTTATTTACCATAAGGAAGGCTATATGGTACAATGGAAAGAGAGCTAATCTGAAGTCTAGAAAAGCTAGGTTCTTGTCTCTGATGAATTCTGATTATATGACCCCTGGCATGTTACTTTAAGGAAGGGAAGGGAAGAAACAGTTATTAACTACCTACTGTGTGGCAGGCCCTGGGCTAAATGCTTTTATAAATGTTACTTCATTTGATCCTCTCTTGCTACAAGCAATTTTCTAAGATAGTAAGTTGCAGGATAGTTACTTATCTGAGGGTTTCCCTTTACCAATAAAATCACAAGTCTGAACCAAAAAAAAAATTAAGTCACTACATCATCTCTTGCCCCAATTTTCCTCCCCTTGAGGTTAAATGAACCATTTTATTAGCTTTCTTTTCTGCTCTATATTTTCCCAAAATTTCATAAAAAGAATATTTGAGAGCCTACCTACTATGTGCAAACCACATATGCTAGCATATTCCCCTTCTACAGTTTTACTTAAAGAAAACATTTTAAAGGATTTAGGGCAATTTGCAGTAAGAATTTTCTGATCCTTAATATTCTCTTCACTCAAGGTTGAAGTATAAGAAAGCAGTCATAACCAAATCCAGAAATGGCGAGTGTTGGCTATCAGGATAATCTCCTAGTCTTGGCTAGTTATGCCCTAAGCACTTAAAAATAGAGTGCTAAATGTCAGTGCTAGAAAAGGTCGTTAAAATAAGAAGACTGAAAGCTCAAACCATTTCATCAGGGAGCCAAGAATGTAATGACCCAGTTTCTCAGCAGTATATAAAAATATTCTCAGGTATGAAGCATTCTGTGTGGGCCATCAAAAAGAGTACCACCCTGAGGACAATTCTTCTGGCTGTTTTTTAGGCTGCCTTTGCTAAATACCAATCAACATGAGAGATAGCATGGTATAGTCGATTAGGGTAGTGGACTTGGTGTTAGGAAGGTCTGGGTTCAAATTCCTCTTCGGAAGCTTTTAAAGCATTAGGTAAATGTGAATTAATATTAGCTGCAGTGTTTTCACCATAGGAGAGAATAATAGAGAAAAACTTTTGTTGAGAGTGAAATCACATCTTCAACACTTAGACACATTCATTTCAAGTTTAACTTGTGTTCTTTGGAATTTGATCCCCTTCATGCCTTCAGTAGTGATTTAGGGGTGTGTTAGAGCCAGAACAATTGTTAATTTTTTTTTAAGGCACTCAGGGTTAAGTGACTTGCCCAGAGTCACACAACTAGTAAGTATCAAGTGTTTGGTCTGAGGCTGGATTTGAACTCAGGTCCTCCTGACTTTAGGGCCTGTGCTCTATCCACTGTGCCACCTAGCTGCCCCAAGAATTGTTAAATTTTCAGTGCAAGTGTTTGTACCACTAAAATAGGTAAAAGCTATGAAACAAGGCTTGACTTACTGTTTTGTGGATTGTTTAGACTTAAGAAGGTAAGGAAATGTTAATAATGAAGATTGAACTCAAAACCTAGGTTATATACTTTTTTTTGATAGAGCTGGTTGTTAAACATTTACCAGCATACCCCTGTGTACTACTGTGTTCCTAATAGGCTTTCTATTTGTTTTCCTAGGTATATGGTTCTGGGTCTCAGACTCGAGCATTCCAGTATGTCAGGTAAAGGCATATTTGTTTTTTGTAACATGTAATTAATTTGAAGGGTCTGTTATCCAGTTCTGATGGTTTGGGGACAGATAAGATGTGGTCCTGAGGAATCTTCATTTTCATTTGTAAAGTTCCAAGATACACTAGGAAAGAGGTAGTTTGAAAAGACCCATTTCCCATTTTAAAATAAATTCAGATTTTTAATATTTTTCTTAAACCAAAAAGCCTCTATAGATCTTGTCTTTCAAATTAAATGTGAGTTTTGTGTTTCTCCGTTAGCAATTAACCCACTTTTGGTGGGTTTTCTCCGAATCCATGCTGCCATCTAGTGTTCCTTAGTTGCATTTGTCAAGTACCGGGTATGACTTAATCAGTGTAATTTCTGGCCTCAGCTTTGATGATAAAGATTTGTTGAATGCAGCATACCAACAGATGCTATGCACATTGTGTCATCCTTTGGAAAAGGCTTCCTTGGTTTGGATGAGGTAGTCTTTAAAACTCTGCAGATTTGATATTAAATTTGTTGAAGAACTTGGGTAAATATTTTTAACCTCTGGAGATCTTATTGTTTGGATTGAAAAATAGTTACTTATTTCCATTTTCAGAAAGTTGCATTTGAAAATGTTTTTTATGTCTCTGATAAAAAGACAGCAACAAAATACTATGTGAAAATGATGATTGAGTATCATTTATTACTTGTAGTAAATAACCACTATTAAAGTTTTTAAGATCCTAGATTGATAAAAAGTCCACTTATAACTTTTACATATTTGATTTTTCTCCTTTGAGTGTACAGCAGGATCTTTTAAGTCCCATATAACCAAAGCTTACTAATGAAAATAAACTTGATTATCATTTTTAATCTAAAATAAATCGAAGTACTTTACTGTTCATATAAATAATTATCCTTTTACCCTTTCCTATGCCTAGAAAAATCAGAAAGTGAAGATAACCAAAGCATTCTGATTTTTGTTACATCATTACCAAAGAATATAAGGTAAACAGAATTCTTAGAAATGATTTAAATAAACAATTTAGTGTACTTGTTTCTTCTTTGCTTCTAGGGAGTCTTACCATTATTCCTGAAAAGCATATACAGATTCTCTACCTTCTCAGGAATACAACTTTGGAGTTTATGCATCATAACATTGTTTATGTTAAATGACCCTTTGAGCACGTCTCCTCAGAGTTGTCTTAAACTTATGACTTCTCTGTATATTGTAGAAGTTCCACCAAAGATTAACTTTTCATCAGTTCCATGTTTTCAGTCTTCCATGTGTCCTTTTCTCCTCCCTTCAGCCAACTCCAGTATTTTCCTAGGAAGCCTACAGAATTTGGGCACACCAAACTTTAATGAAATATCTAGCTGAGTGGCTTTCAGTCTTCCCTCATTTTGATTTTATATTGGTTACTAATGGAGCTTTGTAACCCAAAGGCCTAAGGAGAGAAAAACAAGGAGGTGCCTTTCAAAAAAAAAAAACTAGGTTTCTATATAATTACTTATTTTGAAGATTTGAAACACAAAAATTAAAGTGGGTAAAAATCTTTACAAAAAATGTAGAGACCCAGACCTGTGTTTTCATCAAAGTAAAGAACTCCATCAGTGCAACTGACGGTCTATAACTTACAGTTTTAGAGTTTTCTGGGGCACTAAGAAATTAAATGTTTTTGTCCAGGGTAACATATTTAGTATGTATTGAATCCAAGTATCCCTAACCCTAGGACTGGATTTCTAGCCATTCATGTCTTAATAGACAATAGAGAGATAGACGTATGCATACATAGATATGCACACTTGTTCATATAATTAATTTCTGTCTTAGCTCAAAATAATTTAATTGTATTGCACTCAAAGAAAATCTAAACAGTCCCATTAATTTTTAAATTTTGTTTCTACAAAATCCTGTGGATTCTATGATGCTGTAATTTGCTGGTGGTGTTTGGTGGTTCACTGCATGAAAGGGCACAGTGCCAATCATGATACAGAAATGACACTTTAGGACACTGACACAGTGCCTCCAGGCTTTCTTTCTCTTCACTCCAGCACCCTCTTCCACTTACAAGCTCCCTAAGAGTACAGGTGGCCAGCAATGGTAATCAGTAGCATAATGGAGAGAATCCTGGAATTAGTTCCAGTTGCTAGCCTTTGTGACCATGAACAAGTCATTTAACCCTTTTCTAATACTATAATAAAATCATTGGATTTTAAATCTTGGAGGTCATTTAGAATTCCACAGTCTCAGAATTAGAATGGACTTGGAATGTCATTTAGTTCAATCCTTACTTAGAATCAGGATGACCTAGGTTCAAATCCTACTGTTGACATTTAACTGGTTTATTCTCTATGAGCCTTAGTTTCCTCATCTATAAAATGGGGGGAGGGATAATACTTGTGGCACATACTTAAAGGTTTTTTTGTGGCTTAAATGACATAATACATGTGAAGTGCTTTCCAACTCTATAGCTTAATATAAATGTCTATTACCGTAATAGTGATTTAAGTATCCCCTCCATAATAGCCCAGAAAAGTAGTCATATACCTGAAGAAATTAGTCCATTCTGTTTTTGGATAGCTATACACATAATGGGCAAGACTGTTCCTCCAAACTAATTATGTTATGTTATGTTGTATACCTCCATATAAAATATATTTTCACAAGTTATACTGTCCTCTATGAAAATTCCTCTGGTCAATAGGCTATGCCCCCTTAAAAGATTTTCTAGTAATTTTATAGCCATGAATATCATAGATTTAGAGGTAGAAGAGACCTTCTAAATTCTTTACCTCATTTTACCACAGAGGAAAACAAGGCCGAGGGAAGTTGTCTTCTTAGCCAAGGTAGTAAGTGTCAAAGGCAGGATTTGAATCCAGGTTCCCTTCTCCCCACCTCTCCAAGACAAAATTGTTAATTGGATAAACTTAGTCTTTAATCTTTCCAGTGGTCTCTTTTCCCCAGAAGTGAATTTGCATTTTATATTCTCAAGGAATATCCAGAGTACTCAGCATCAGGTCCTGACTGAAAGTTCAGTGAAAACTCTGAGACTGGGAAATCACCCCCTCACACACACACAAATGATCTGTGACCTGCTGTCCTGGAGTTAAAGTGGCAAGGGATAATAAGTTACTGGAAGTCCTCTTCCACGCCATTTGACAGGGTGCTCAAGAAGTTCCCCTTGGCTGCCGTAAGGTCTCTTGGCTGGTACATCCATCCACCCAGCAAAGACTTGGGAAAAGTAGGGTTACAGTGACAATGAAAAGTTGGTCAAAAGTATAATTTAGTGCCATTCCTAGACTACTTTCTCTTAGACTAATAGGCTTGTAGATGGAGAATTATGAGACCTTAGAGGCCACTGGGTCCAACCCTTTTCATTTTGCAGATGAGAAAACTGAGGACCTGAGAGGTGAAAGCGACTTGCTTAGTGTCATACACCTAGTATAAGTGTCTGAGGAAGATTCAAACTCAGGTCTTCCTGATTCCCAAGTTCAAAAGAATGACCTCAGCATTCTAGAAAGGGAAAAGATCTGTCTACCAGACCCTTTCCAATTTGGGAAATTGTAGAAGTCTTTCCTTATTCTTCAGCCTGCAACTAAGAGACTGTTTTTAAAAATTTGTTTTAACAATTGGAACAGCCCAAGGCACATATAAAATAGAGTGAATGTTGGAAGGATTCTGGTAGTAGTAATACTCCTGTTTAGAACTATTTAGTACTTCATAGGTTTGGAGATAAATATTGCAGTAGAGTTTGCTGCTCAACCCTATGGGTAGGAAATTCATCACTTTCACCCATTTTATTTCCCCTCCTCCCCCCCTTTTCAGGCATCCTCATCAAATCAAAGTCTAATGATATTAGGTAACATTTAGGTAATGCTTTATGATAAAGATGCTTCACAGAGGCTGTACAAGTATTATTTCCATTTCACACATTAAGAAAATTGAATACTGAGCTGAAATAATCCTGCCCATGGGTATCTAGATGGTGCAGTGAATAGAGTGCCATGTGGAGTCAGGGAGACTCATCTTGCTGAGTTCAAATCTGGCGTCAGACACTTACTAGCTTTGTGATCCCAGGCAATTGGTTTAACCCTGTTTGCTTCAGTTTCCTCATCTGTAAACTGATCTGGAGAAGGAAATGGCCAACCACTCCAGGATCTCTGCCAAGAAAACCCCAAATGGTGTCCTGGAGAGTCGGATGTGACTGAAACAACTGAACAAAGCAGCAAAGGTCATGGAGCTTACTTGGTGGCAGCCCAGGCACTGTAACCTAAATCTCCTGATTCCAAGTGCCATTTTTATTTTTAGTAGAGCAGCTCTTAAGTCATTTGGATTCCATCGTCTCTAAGGTTCCTTTCTACTCTAAAACAATGCCAACAAACCGAGATTCTCTTAGTTTACTCTCTTCACATTGAGTGGCATTCTATTTACATTATTCACCTGGTGTGTTTTGCATTGTAAATCTTCACAAGCTTGAACTAATTGGTGGAAGTCTTTTTATTTTTAAAGAAATAGTATTCTTTCTTTGGTAGATGCAGTTTTGTCTAAATGCTAATATAATGTTGCTCAATACAACTCCTGCTTGAATGAAGATGTTCTGGTGTTCACTCATTTTACAATTTACAAATGCTTTCCTCACAACAACCGTTTCAGTGTAATCCCCATTTTACACAAGAGAAACCCAGGCTCAAGATAGAGTTTTATCCATGTTCACATGATGATGACAGTGATGATATTTCTGCATGTACAGAAATTGAGTTTTACATGTTCAATCTGTTAAGTATTGTTGGTTTCTACTTTCCCAAAATCTCTTGAACACTTCCTCTTCTCACATAGTAATCACCCGGCTACAGGCTCTCATGACTCCTCCTTTTGCAGTAGTCTGCTAGTTGATTTCTCTGCCTCAAGTCTTTCCTCACTTCAATTCACCTTCTAGTCAGCTGCCAAAGTGATTTTCCTAAAACGCCGATCTGATGATGTCAATTCCTGCACCTCCCCACCCCCTGTACTTACTGTTCTTCATACATGACCCTATCCCCCAAGCCTGAAATGCTCTCATTCCTCACCTCTACATTCTTGCTTTTCTGGTCTCATTCAAGGCTCGACTTTACATCCCCACTCCCTCCCCCATTCCTTTTTAAAAGAAGCCCTTCTCCATCCCCACCACTGCTAGATCAACTCCCATTTATTCTTTATCTGTCTTGTATATACATAGTATTTTTGTATGCTGTCTCCCCCTTATTAGAATGTAAGCTCCTTAAAAAGACCATGTTTTGTTTTGTTTTTACCTTTTTCGGTATCTCCAATGTTTAGCACAGTGACTGACATGTTGTCAAGTGCTAATTAAATACTTATTGACTGACTGATACCCCCAGTACATTTATTCAGTTACAAAAAGGAATTATACTATCTATCTGCCCAACAATCAACTGAAATTAAAGAATAGTAGTATGATAGTTTTCTAGGACTGTTTGTATTGGAACCCAATTGAATATAAGAAGAATAGTGGTGATCATGATAATAAAGGTGAAAGGCAGTGTGAGCCATAGTGGATGGAGAGCTGGCCTCCAGGAAGGATGAGCTGGATTTAGGTCCTATCTCTGACACGTAATGGCTGTGTGACCCTGGGAAAGTCACTTAATCTCTAAGTGTCACAGGGCCCCTCCTTAAGTTGGCAGTTTGCAGAGCAGTGGCTGATCTGCATTGGTGAAGGGAGTTTCCTCTTCAGGAATTAACTATGTTAATTAAATTAGATTAAATTAAATTAATTTAGATTATACTAAATTAAATTTAAATTAAACTAGATTAAATCATAGATCAAATCCAAAAGATGATGATGAGGAGGATGAGATGATGATGATAATTGACCTTTATAGAAAGTTTTATATTTCTGTAAAGATAATTGACGTTTATATAACTGATATTTACATCTTTTATCATTGACTCCTAACTACAAACTTGTTAAGTTGGAATTGCAGATGTGCTGTCCGTATTTTACACACAAATGAATTGAAGCTCGGAAAGGTTGACTTGTCCATGTTCTTACAGCAGTTGAGGTTAAAGGAGCAGGATTCAGAATTCATGGTTCATCTCATCCCAAGTCCAGTGTCCTTTCCACTATAACATATTGCCTCTAGCCAAAATAGTAAAGTATGCCACTACTTTTTAGGTTGTTCTGTCTTGAGTTTGCCTTTCTGTTATTATAGTTTTAATCAGTATGTTGTTATAGATATAAATATATAGCATTAAGGGATTATTCATTTAAGTTCTCACAGAAATGTATGTGTTCACTTACTTAATGAATCCTTTCTCCCTAAATGGTCCCCAGTTCTGACTAAATTAGAACAAATTGTAAAAGAGTTGACAGACTTAAAGAATCTATTCAGGTCTTACGATAAGTAAATAAATAAATGAATACCGAACTAACTCAAGTAAGCAAATAAATAAAGTTTTAAATGTCTTGTCCCCCAGGATGAGACTTACCAATATAATAACATGAAATTTACATTGTGCTTTAAAACCTGTAAAGCCTTTTACATGTATTCTCCTTTGAGTCTTGCAACAAACCTCTAAAATAAGTACTTAACAGGTATTATTATCTCATTTCGTAGATAACGAAACTGAGGCTTAGAGACATTAAATGGCTTCCTTGTAGTCCATCACTATCACACAGCTAGTAAGTGTCAGAGATGAGATTCCAACCTAGGACTTCCTAACTTCAAATCCTAGGCCAACTTAACTCTTAAAATGATAATAACAGGGGGAGCTAGATGGCGTAGTGGATAGAGCACCCGCCCAGGAATCAGGAAGACCTGAGTTCAAATCTGGCCTCAGACACATGATACTTAGTAGCTATGTGACCCTAAGTTAAGTCACTTAACCCTGATTGCCTCACCAAAAAATAAAATAATAATAATAACTAATGTTTTTATATAGCACTTTAACATTTGCACAGTGCTTTACCTATATTATCCCTTTGGGTCTTCACAACAACGTTGTACACAGGGACTGTGGGTATTATACCCATTTTACAAATGAGGAGAACTATGTGAGACCCTTGCTCAGGGTCACAGTTAGTCAGCAATAGTATTTAAACCTGTCTTAACCTTTGTCTTCCTCATTCCAAGTCCATTTTGCTTTCTAGTTTGCCAAATTTCATCTTTTAAAAGTCTGATTTATATATCAGGCTATCTTTTCTTTGGAAGGATCCAGTTCCATAAAATAAGTATAAGGGTCTCCCTGGGAGGGAAGCCCTTCCAATACAGATCAGCAAATTTTCTTTAACTTAGAAATATAGAGATTTTTCTTTAACTTAACAGCTATAGAGTTTTGAGAAGGTTACGTGATTTTCCTGGGGCCACATAGCTAGTAAATGTCAGAAGAAGGACTTAAATCTAAGTCTTTATGACATTTAGGCCAACCCTCTATCGACTATACCATCCATACATCTCACATTTTATATTACAATTGGGATTGGGTGTGTTTATTACAAGAGAAGAAACTACATAGAAACTGAGAAAATCTCTAACCAAAGGTCTCTCATTCTCACAGTTTGCTATTTTTGACCTTTTAGGATGATGTTACCTAGTCATTATAATGCAAAATTAACTGTTGTTTTCCAAACATAATTCAAATGATCATTACTATTGACATTTTACCATTGCTGTGGTTGATATTGTCATGGTCAGGTTTTGTCCTCATATACATTAAAGCCATGTTATTTTTAAAAAAAAGTCACTTTGTCAAAATGACACTTGATATAGAACTTTAGGTTAAATGTAAGTGTGATCTGTGCAGGGTTGACCTTAAAGGTTGCCAGTTTATGTTTAAATGATCCTTCATTCAAAGCATGGTGACCAGGATCCTGTTAGCCTTAATTATTATTTGATAGTAACTTGCATAACTTTCCTCTCTCCCCCCTTCGCCCCCACCAGTTTCAGACTAATTGTAATAAATAGTATTGAATGGCAGCTTTTAATGTCTGAAACTGTGAATCTTTTCAGGCCACTTTGCCACAAGAAAACATATCCGTTACAAAGAATGTTATGATGGTACCATGATGCAATGATTCACTGCCATAGTGATGAAGTGACTTTTTTTGGTCAGTTTCTCTACAATAGAGAAATAATCAAATGACTGGCAATTATTAGCATGAGTGCTTGATTTGTGAGAAAAGAATGATTTCAGCATGTTAATGTAAATATGCCTATTGGTTGTAAATAGAAAATTGAAAAGCTTGCCAAAATAGCCCCAAAAGAGGTTCCTTTGTTTAAGAGAAAAGCAAGACTGTTGATCATTGTCTTTTGCTTTATACAATTACTTTATTTAAATTTTTTTTAAAAACTGTAACATGACCCATAATGCCCTGCTCCTCAGTGGTAACAATGCACAGAGGAAGATTGAAATATTTTAAAATTTGCATCAGTCAAACCTCCTGTACAGAACTGAGAGTTCTCTCTAGGGATATGCTGCCTCTCAAATAGGAATAGGGGAAGTGTCATTGTGTAGCACTGAGGTGTCATTTTTACAGAGTAACTTTTTTTTAACAGAGCCACACTTTAAAGCTTCTGAAAATAAGAGCCATATCTTGGTAAGCGGAAATTTGCTTACTTCTCTTCACTTTTCATGGACCAATCAATCACAATCCATCTGAAACATTTGCAATTCCCTGACCTTTTTACGTGGATGTCTGAGATTATTGGTTGGGGAGAGAGAGGAATCGGGGGTGGTGGAGAACATGTCATAATCATATTTCAATAACCAGTATTATTTGATTTGTCTTCATAACATGCCAGTGAGGGGAACTCCTTGCTTTGCATAATCCTTTCATCTTAGCAGGCTTTTATTTCAGAATAACATTCATCTGGGTAAAGAAACGATCATCAATGTCCATGGGAGCCAGATGTCTGGGGACACATCAGACATGGGTTTTCATCAGGAATATAGGGACTTGTGTGAACATCCATTTTAATTGCAAGATTTTTATTTTATTTTTTTACATTCCTCATATTTTCCAATTCATTTTCTTTTGTGGGGAAGAAGGGATTGAGGAATTGTTTTTGAACTTGTAAAATGTGTTCAACAATCATTTGTTTTGAGGAAATAGACAATGTGGTCTTTCCTTCTTTTTGCAGTGACCTAGTAAATGGACTTGTGGCCTTAATGAATAGCAATGTTAGTAGCCCTGTCAACTTGGTAAGTCTCTTTTCTTCCCATTGGTTGGCAGGAGTGTGATTTTTCTGGCAGAAGCTTTGGGTTGTAGGGTCTAACTTTTCTATCAGAAAATGTTAGGACGTAATGGTCCCAACATTAGATTGAAGCCTAATGGTTTTTGGTTGGGGTTTTTGGTTGGAAAGATGCACAGAGTAAGAAAATTTTACAAGCAAAAAATTTCCACAAAGATGTTTTACCAAAAACTATAATGAAGAAACCAGGAACTCATAAGTGAGATGACCTAGGCTCATTCAATTTGTGTAGCAACATGCATAATCAGGCACTACTAATAAAAGCTTTTTGATAATGCTTGTAATTTATGGAAATTACATGCATAAATTTATGTGTCCCTGGTTTAACGCATGAATTTCCCTTGTGTAAATATCCCTGAGTAGTAACATGGAAGAAGGAGCTTTTTCAAAGAGAATATCTTACTGGTGAGAGTGGTTGTAATATAGCTGTGAAAACAGCCTTCTTGGGGCAGCTAGGTGGAGCAGTGAATAGAGCTCTGGCCTTGGAGTCAGAAGGACCTCAGTTCAAATCCAGCCTCAGACACTTAATACTTACTAGCTGTGTGACCTTGGGCAAGTCACTTAACCCCATTGCCTCACCAAAAAGCAAAAAAAAAAAAAAACAGAAAACAGCCTTCTTGCCACCTGTAAGAGCTTCTGTGTTCAGTAAAAAGAATACTGGCTGGGGAATCAGAAGACCTGGGTTCAGATACCACCTCTTGTTACTTGTCCCCTGTGTGATTTGGGGCAAGTCGTTTAGTTTGCTGGGGCTCGGTTTCCTTAGGGCAGTGAGGTGGTGCAGCGGATAGAGTGCCAGGCTTGGAGTCAGGAAGATACATCTTCTAGAGTTCAAACCTGGCCTGGATACTTACCAGCAGAGTGACCCTGGGCAAGTCACTTAACCTTGTTTGCCTCGTTTTATTCATCTACAAAATGAGCTAGAGAAGGAAATGGCAAACCACTCCAGTGTCTTTGCCAAGAAAATCACAAATGGGGTCACAGAGTCAAAAACGACTGAACTATTGAGGTCCCTTCCAACTGATCATCTGTGATCCTATGAAACCATGTTTTCCCTATGGTCCTTGTTTTTTTTTTATTATTATTATTATCAAAATAAGACCGTAAGATATGGTTAAAATTCATCAAAATACCCTTCAGAAAAGTAAAGAAATTATTAGAGATATGGAACTTAAGAAATTTATTCTCAGATTAAAAAAAAATTGAAAGGTTCAGCTTGTCACTGTGAAAGATAAGAAATTAGCCCATTATATTTAGAGACTCCATTTTTAAGTAGTAAATGAAAGTGGGCATAACTTTGTCTTCTCTTTTCACTGTTAAATACAAAGTCTGTTTGTTTTTTATTGGAAGGGATGCAACTCATATAATCTCCAACATGTTGTATGAGTGTAGATTTATAATTCTCTTTTAGGTGAACATTTATACCTATTGTTTTTGGCACAAGATATTAATTGATTTAAGCAGTAGATTTTGCTTGTCTTTAGCATTTATGTCCCTGCCCTTATTTAGGGGCTATTAGTCCATCGGAATTATTTTTTTATAGCAAAGGAGAAAAGAAGGGAATAAGCATTTATTAGTGCCTACAATATGTCAGACACTGTGCTTAAGCCCTTTACAAATATTATCTCATTTGGCCCTCACAACAAATCTGGGAGTTAGGTGCTATTATTACCTTTATTTTACAGTTGAGGAAACTGAGGCAGACAGAGGTGAAGTGACTTGCTTGCAGTCACAGTAAGTGACCATTGAGTGTCTGAGACTGCCCTTGAACTCAGGGCTTTCTGATTCCAGGCTCAGCACTGTTATCTACCAGCCATCTATATACAGCAGTAGCTACTGTCATACCTGGAAGGGGTAATAAGTAGATACAATGTTTCTTCTTGCCAGATTCAATAAACATGATTTTGATGTGTTAACAGCTCAGAATGAAAATTGCTGCTGTGGTGAAATAAACATATATATGTTCTAGAAAGCCTGTTGCCTTCTTCTGCTGTCAGTGAGCCTATAAACATCTTACAGAAGATTAATGTGATTGCTTAATTACCCTCATAACCAGTAACCATTTCTTCCTTAGGGGAACCCAGAAGAACACACAATTCTAGAATTTGCTCAGTTAATTAAAAACCTTGTTGGTAAGTAGGATAAGTCATTTCACGGGTGAACTTCAGCATGAATGTTTCCTATCAGTGGTTAATTCCTTGATTAGCAAATGTGTAATTAATATAAGCTAATTGAATTGGATAAAAGCAGCGCTTTTATCAGAGACATTTGTCTTCTGATGCTTTAATTAAATAACAACAGGAGAAAGGGTGTCTTTGGTTTTGTTTGGGATTGTAATTGTGGGCTTGTTCTGTGAATAGATCCTTTTTTTCCCCCGAAGGTAGGTCATTCTGTGTAGGTGAAAATGATTTGTTCAAGGAGCCTGTGCTGGGTGAGAATGGAATTTCAGAAGGTGAAGGAGAGTCACATAAATTGTATATTGTTTGGTGTAGAACACATCAGCCAGTTCTAAGTACTGTTTACAATTCTGACCAGCTTTCCTGAAATTGTAAGAGCCAACATAGAAATCCGGGCAGGCGATAATAAGCCAGCCGGTTGCACCCCACGGTGACCCAGAGCTTTGTCTGATTCCAGACTCAGTTCAGCCCAAGCAATCTTGTCTCTTGTAAACATGGTGAGTTTACTTCCTTTTCTGAGAACCCATCACTGGAATCCCTGGGACTTTTTTTCCCAATCCTGTACCCATGTGTATAGGGAGACTAAAGATTTCTGCTAGACAATATATGGCATTGAAGTAAGTAGGCTTTGCTGAGATCAAAGCTTTATTGTAGATTCACTTATTAGCCACCGTGACGTATTCCTGAGGTCCTGTGATCTGTCTACAAATGAGGTTGACTTGGAACCAAGGACGGGCTACGACAGGCCTGCCCAACATACGGCCCAGCAAAGGATTTCAGATGACCCAAGAAAAATGTAGAGGCTGTAAAAGAAAGTAAAGATGTAAGGAGTGCTTTGTCCATGCCCCACTGAGACCCGCCTTCCACTAGTCACTACTGTGCCCATCTTGTAACTTGGCGGGTGGGTTGCCACTGAGCACTCTCTCCTGTTTGTTACATGACTCCTGGCAACTAACCATCATCAGTCTGTCTCTAGTCTGAGAGGGGTGATTTCACATAAATAAAAACCTTAAGTATTAAGTGTAATTAATTGATAATAATTGAAATTTACCTTTTTAAAAGTATTAGCAAAATAGTTTAATCATTAATTATACCTTTACTTGGAAAGTGAGCTGCTAAAAACCTATGTGCAGTCTGAAGAAATTTAGCCTATTTTAATTTTGCTCCCTACCTACTGTCAAGTTGTACACAACTGGTCTAAGAAAACAATGGTCAGTGTTGTCCACGCAGCCTGATCTGAATTCTTGTCTTCATTATATATATTTGTCAGCAGGCGCTGGATCTGACCTGTGAAAACCTCAAATCTCCCTTTGTTAGCATGCAGCCATTTTAGAATTTTGATTTCCAGTCTAAGCAATGCCTCTAGTTTTTTCCTCATTGGCCAAGCTGAGGAGAAGGACGAGTTCTGAGCTCAGTGGCTTAAATCACCTGGTTCACTCACTTCCCATGTATTCTCTTACCCCTCAGTTAACTGTATTCCCTCCCTCTTCTCCCACCCTAGCATGAAGCAAGGAGGCTTTTTTTTAATTATAATAAGATCAAAGATTTGGGAAGGAACTTTAGAGACCATCTAATCCAACCCTTTCATTTTACAAATAAAGAAATTGAGGCCCAGAGGGATCTAGTGACATGCCCAAGGTCACATGGGTAGTAAATAGCAGAGGTGGGATTTGAACCCATCTCTTTTGACCCCATATTCTGGATCCTACTGGCCACACTGCTCCTCTTCCTGAATCCTTACTTGATTTTTGCAGCATTAGAATTATATGAAACAACAAATGTTTTTGCCATCAGTAAGAAAAAGGCCCTTTTTAAGTATCTCTTCTCAGATACTTGAATAGATGTGTATGTATATATGTATGACCTTTAACAAGTCATTTAACCTCTCTGCCTCAGTTTCCTCATCTGTAAAATATGACATGGGACTCAGTGTCTTCTAAGGTCTCTTTCAGGTATAAATCTATGATCTGTGACCCCTGGGTTGACTCTATGCCACAAGGAAGCATTGGAGTTGGACTTTAGTGTATAACAGAAATAAGTTTTATTTCCCTATTTTTAAGAGGACCAGAACTTCAGTTTCAGTATCAGGAGGGCCAGGTGAAGAAATTACTCCTAGCAATGAAGATCATTATTTGCTCTACAATTTACAGACTTAGATAATTCCCCAAGTGACTGAAAAGTTAAGTGATTTCTCAGGTGTCACAATGACGTATAGCAGTATTAATAACAACCTCTGCTTGGAGTCAGGAAGGGCCTGAGTTCAAATCCGGCTTCAGGCACTTAACACTTAACTAGCTGTGTGACCCTGGGCAAGTCACTTAACCCTGATTGCCTTACACACACACACACACACACACAGGCAAAAAAAAAATCCAAAGGCAATAAAAAGAGTGAAACTAAATTTAAAAAGTAATAATAACCTTTGTTTTACTTACAAAAAATTGTTATTTAAATTACTTCCTCCACTAGAGTGGAGGAATTTAAATTTAAATTACTCCCTCCATTGCTTATTGTAGCAAAATGGTGACCCTAGTGTATCAAGTGGAACAGAATTTATTAGGCCCTGCCAAAATAGAAGGACAGCTTAGAAGGGGCCTAGAGTCAGGAAGACTTGAGTTCCAATCCAGCCTCAGACACTAACTGTGTGACCCTGGCCAAGTCACTTAACCCTGTCTGCCTCAGTTTCTTCATGTACCAAATGGGCTGGAGGAGGAAATGGCAAACCACTGTAGTATCTCTGTCAAGAAAACCCCAGATAGTGTCACAAAGAGTCAGATATGACTGAACAACAACCAAAATAGAAAAGCCTTTCATCATAGATGCTAAGAAGAATTGAGTGTAGCTTGATGGGAAATTGTGTAGGAATTCTGGGTGCTGCGGGCAGAGAGAAAGAGCTTAGTATAGAGGATAGAGATCTGGTCTCAGCTTGACCCATGCTGGCTGGTAACTCTGGGCCAGTCATTTAGGTTTTGTGCCCTTGGCAATTTTCACAGACTGGAAATTGCAAACCAGAGGGACATTCCTCTGTGGAAATTTTTCCTACACCACTAAAATCATATGTCCAGGATAATTTTATTTTTACTCCTAATCAGCAGTGATGATGACAATGATGATGAGGAGGAGGAGGTGATAGCTAGCATATATGTGGCACTTAAAGGTTTTCAAAATGCGTTACCCATATTCCAAGTTCAACGGTCTATCCACAATGCTGCCTAAGGGAAACTTAGCCAATGTACCGTTCAAGCAGAAGCCTAAACTTTTTTAACTAAAAAGGGGGTGTGTTTCCTGGATAATGTAACTCCTGCACCAGTTATTAGTACTATATGAACAGTGTTCATTATCATTGTTATTAATTAAGAAACTGAAAACCATAAACGTTAACCTGTCATGCCCTATCACGTAGTTATTTGTGGAGCTGGCTAGAACCAGAGGAAGCCTAGGGATAGATGTAGAGTCTGAAATCCTAGGTTCAAATCCCTGTTTTGTCACTAACTACTTGTATGACCTTGGGCGGGGTATTTAATGTCTCTGAACTTAATTCCTTTTCCATTTTACTGCCTGGCATCAGAGACCACAACCTTTTCATTTCTTGAACTCCTACTCTGCTGTCCTCATTGGTGATTCTCTTTTGGCCTATTATTTCTAAAAGGCCCTAGCCATTGTTTCCTTTCCTTCTTCCCCTTCAGATAGGAATCTATTTTGTAATAAATTCTGTCATTATTCCGGGAAAAGGTGTGATAATCTTTGGCTCCACTCACTGTCCCTGGAACAAACATGAATAAAATGCACCTTCCTGGCCACCATCCCCATATGTGAATATAAGGGAATATAAGGTCTCTGAGCTCCACACTTGGCAAATAGTTGATGCTTTTTCATTCTTCTGTCAAATGAAGGGGTTGAAATAATCATTGGTGTCAAACTCAAATAGAAACAGATCCCTGCCAGCCCAGGTATTGACTTAGAAAACCACAAATTAACATCATCTATGTTGTATTGTATCTTCATTTTTTAAATATTTTATTTTTTCCCAGTTATATGAAGGCAGTTTTTTTACATTCATTTTTAAAAATTTTTTGAGTTCCAAATTATCTCCCCTCCTGTCTCCTCTCTCAGAAGGTAAGCAATTTGATAGAGTATAACATAAGAGACACTAACTACACCAATTTAAAGGCCGGAGGCACCACTGGAGCTTTTGGGCTCTGGCATCTAACAGATTCACTCTTGATCCGGACAGCCAGAAGGACAGGAACAGAGACATAAGGAGGGGTTATTTAATTTACTTTATTCTTCTCAATGGGATTGCTGATAATGGGAGTACCAACTCCTATAGCATCCCCTAATTACTCTTCGAAGAGGCTGGCAAGAATGGGGCAACAGCCCCTACGTAAAAACATAACTCCTACAGCTTACCCGAATTCTCATAGGGGCCAGTCGAGACATGCACAGCTTTCCAGCTTTCCCCCTGTGCCTCAGTAGGGGTCAGTCGAGGCAAGCACAGCATTATACTGTCACATTCCCCCCAAGCCTTGATGGAAGCAGATCAAGGCACACACAGCTTTCAACTGGCACATCCCCCAAGTCCCCACTCATTGACCAGTACTCCCTTGATTTATAGAGGGGCACACAAAGAAGGCAATTTGCCAGCAATAACCTCACAAATTTACATTAACTTTAGCAATGTCATGGTGAATCAGCATAGCGCTGGTGCAGTACACCGTTTACAATTAAACTCAAATGTTTACATTATCTCATCGTTATATCTCACTGTTCAGATGCAGTAGAAATTGTTTACAATGTGAAGTCCTGGGAACTAGTACATTGTTATGGCCATGGATCATGGGAATTAGTATCTAGGCTCCTGGGATCTATTATCTCAAAAAGAAGACCAAAACTCATCTTACATACATATAGGTTATATGTGTATTTTAATTTATTTTGTTAAATATTTCCCAATTATATTTTAATCTGGTTTCAGGCTGCACTCGGGAGCTTTGTTGGGGAAATTGACACTTCTAAAGTAGATAACCAAAGATTCTTCTAGCTCTAATTCTGTGATCTCATATTCTATGTCAACTGGCTTGCTGTTTTCATGAGTCATCCACTAAACCTCTGCACCTGTGCTATACCGCATTCATTACAGATGGTGCTTTATAATGGAAATAGTGCTAGGCTTAGAGTCAGGAGAAATCTACACCAAATCCAGGTTCTGCCACTGAGATATTTAACCTTCCTTATGCCCAGTTGTTTCACCTGTAAAATGGGTATAACATAACGGTGGGGTATAAGGAGAGAGCTTTGTATCTCTTCTTGTTTGTTGTCATTTCAGTTGTATACGACTTTTTGTGACCCCATTTGGGTTTTTCTTGGCAAAGATATTGGAGTGATTAGCCATTTCCTTCATCAGCTCACTTTGCAGGTGAGGAAACTGAGGCAGAAAGGGTTAAGTGACTTGCCCAGGGTCACATAGCTACTAACTATCTGAGACTGGATTAGAATTTAGGTCTTCCTGATTCCAGGCTCAGCTCTCTGGCGCTCTATCCACTGCACCACCTAGCTGCCCTCATATATCATAAAGCCCTATAGAAATGAGAGTTGTGGTGCAAGAAGCTATTGTCACATAAAAATGGTGCCCTGATTTTCTAAGCCCTGGGAAGAGGGGGGAAAGACCTCAACCAAATGATTTAGGAAGACATATTCCTGCTGACTGTGGTGACACTTTAAGCCTGCTGCTGGGGGAGGGGCTACTACATTGCCTGTGTATGGGAGTACTGAACTAATCAGCTGTCTGTACCCAGTCCTGCACCAATATGGTGGGGGACAGGAAGGAAAGGTGGGCTACCTAAGGAGGGCTAAAGAGCTCCAAGTCAGAAAACGGAGCAAGTCAAAGCACCCGTGCCAATCAGTAGTGGAATCAGGAGGCCCATGAGAGACCCCTACTGATCATACTTCCAGCCTTAATGTGATAGGAACAGCTAGTCTTCCCTCACCCACCTCTCAAAAAAAACCCTCCTCTAATTGTCCAGGCCCCTGACTCTGATTTCAACTTTTATTTCATTTTGTTTCATTTTTAAATTGTCCCACATTGCATTACAATGATTTGTTCTCTTTATATCTCTGGTTATATTTTGGTTTTGGTCTTTAAACAGGTAGTGGTAGTGAAATTCAGTTTCTCTCAGAAGCCCAAGATGACCCACAGAGAAGAAAGCCAGATATCCAAAAGGCCAAGCTAATGCTGGGATGGGAGCCTGTGGTAAGTGAAGCTGAAGGAGAGGCAGCATACCCTGGAAAAACGAGTTCCTCTGGTGTACACGACCTTCCCCACACCTCTCCCTTTCTGAGTGTTCCTGTCCACCAATGGTAGAGCCACATCAGCTGGATTGAGGCAAGGCCCAGGCAGGCAGAGGGGAAGAAGGGATGGAGTTTTCCTCACACCATTAAATGACTTTTCATGCATCATTTGAGAATCACTTTCTGTTACCAAGGAAATAACTTTGATGGCCCTGCCTGGGCCAAATGAAATGATAGATACACAGTTGTACTCCCCCTATGCAGACACCTTGGCCAGGGGCCTGTTCGGAGCTATAGACTCCTCAGCACCTTTGTTCCTGTCACTTTCTTAGATCCATCTTTAGAGTTTCGGGGGAAGCAAAATGCCTCCGTTTAACCTTGTCTGTGCCCTTTCCTGGATGCATGAAAGCATACCTGTAAGCCTGGGTAGCCTATTTTATATCTGTGAATCAGAGAGATAGCAAGTTCCTAGGCACTAGGTAGGAAAAAAATTCTCATGCTGTGGGGCTTTAACTAATCCACTGAAGATAATTATCCCTTGCTGGGAACTCCTGAGTTTGTTATGGCAAGTTGGGAGGAATATTGCTACCTTCTTTGGAAGCATGTAACGTTGGTAGCTTTGGTGCAAGAGGCTGGTAGTGGAGTTGATGAGGGATGCTCTTGCTGTCACTCCCAGTCATTGGACTGTCCTGACCCCCATTGCCAATGGCATTTATCAAGGTGGGAGCTACCCATAGACTTTCCTCAACATGTTGCAAGTAAAATCCTACTCTAAAATGAATTTCAAATCCCCAAAAGCTGGTCTTTTGTTTTACTTCTGTCTAATGGCTTACATTCCTGGTTTTGTTTATTTCTTTTTTCATTTTGTTATAAGATTTGAGTTCCAAATTTTTCTCATTCCTTCCCCTCCCATTTCCCCAAGACAGTAAGCAGTCTGATGTGGGTTATACATGTGCAATCATGTAAAACATCTTTCCACATCAGTCACGTTGTGATGGAAGAGACAGAACAAAAGGGGAAAAAAAGGAATAAAAATCGTATGCTTCAATCTTTATTCATACTCCATTAGCTCTTTTTCTGAATGTGGATAGTATTTTCTATCATGAGTTTTTGGAATTGTCTTGGATCATTGTATTGCTGAGAAGAGCAAAGTCAATCATAATTGATTATCACACAATGTTACCGTTACTTACATTCCCATTTTTAACAGTTAAAAATATACTTTTCTCCATTTCCTTTCCCCCTCCTTTTTTCTCTTTTTTTTGTTGCAAAATATTTGCATTATAAGAAAACATTCTAGAATGACTTCTTACCTTACCAAAGGATTCTTTTTTCCCCAAAAAAGCTTTTCTCTGGGGTTCCCATATTAAATAGCAAGCTTTTCTAGTTCCTGTAAGAGTTGACTCAGTTTACAAAAAAAAAAATGATTTTATTTACAACTTCTTGGAAACATAGCTATCACGTCAGAGGAAGCCTGGCATAGTGGAGAGGGCTAGGCTTGAAATAAAAATGACCTAGGTTCAGGTCTAACACAGTTTTAGGTCACACAGCATGGTTGTGGCAAAGTTGTTTGACATCTCAGTTCCCTAATTAACTCCCCTGAGGCTAAGTGTCACAGACCATTGCCAATCTGCATTTATGGAGAAAGAATCCACCCCCCACCAAAGTCAGAAGTTCCAGTCTCCCCCTTCCTATCCTAAAACAGAGCAAAAATCCCATTACATGAAGTAATAAATGCAGACATTACATATTCTAAAGAGTAGAGGGAAAATTATGTATTTCCAGTTGAAAGTTGTGTGGTACAGTGGGAAAAGTACTGAATATGGAGTCAAAGGACCTATGTTCAAATCCTTCTTTTAATACTTGCCCCTTCGACAAGTTACTTAATATTTCTCGAGGCCACAATTTTCTCATCTATAAAGTGAAGGGGGTCAGACTGAGGTTCTTCTCCCTCTAAATCTATGATACTATGATTCCAAGGACCCATCCAACTATCCAGTAGTCACCAGCTTCTTTTTCTTTCAAGATTTCTTATGTTGTAGGGACTTTGAAGGGAGCTATGCCAAAAGAAGCTTTTGGGCATGTGCCACTATGTTCATAAGTGAAAGCTCAACTGTTAGTGTTATTTGAAATGAGTTGACAACTAACGGTAAGGTTAAGATTATTTTAAACTGTGCCATTCTGGGTCATTTTTCAGTATTCTGTCACCAGTAGGTGAATGTAGCCCATTAGCTTAATCTGAAACATGTATAGGTACTTGGGACAGAAAGGGGCTCATTACCAAAGTGCTGATTGTGTTTTCACATGTTCTTTCCCCATCCTGTGGCCTTCTTCCAGAATAAGGATGAAATGAAATCAGTTATGGAGGTAGAAGGGAGCTCAGAGGCCATCCAATCCAATCTCCTGATACTCTAGATGAAGAAACTGAGTCCTTGGGAGATCAAATGACTTGCCCTTTTAAAAAGAAAATGAGTGTCTCCCCAAGTGGCATTTTTTGTTTCCAGGGATAGATGCTACTAGGTAGAAGCAAAAAGAAGGAAGGAAGGAGAAAGAAAGGGGAAAAAAGAGAGAAAGAAAGGGAGAAATAGAAAAGTAGGTCAATATTTCAGGATTTGACATTTGTTTTAGAGTAGAATTTTACTTATAATAAATAAAGATGAAATATGAAAACAAAACTGTACTCCTGCTGCTGGATTCAGGCACATTTTGAAAGCAGCATACAAGGTATTCTGTTTTTCTTGGGTTGACATGGGTCCTGTGGCCAGTGTGTGGTGCTATGAGCATTCCTACCAGACCCTTCATGTTGAAAACCAGCATTTCCTGCAACAGTAAACTCCTGAGAACAAGCACAATTATTTATTTCATTAAATAAAAAACTTGGTATTGATGTGACCTTGTCTCTTTCTCTCTCTCCAAACAGGTCCCGTTGGAAGAAGGCTTAAATAAGGCAATTCACTATTTCCGTAAAGAACTTGAGTACCAAGCAAATAATCAATACATCCCCAAACCGAAACCAGCAAGGATAAAAAAAGGCCGAACACGACATAATTGAAGGGAGGATTTGCTTCTCTGGACAGGAGAATTCCCTCTTTTACATTTGACAGGATGTAATTTTTTTTTCCTTTTCCTTTTTTTTTTTTAAAGAAAGACTTAAACAGGTGTCATGAAGAACAAACTGGAATTTCATTCTGAAGCTTGCTTTAAGGAAATGGATGTGCCTAAACCCTTCCCCAACACACACACACACACACACACACACACACACACACACACACACAAAAACCTGCAAATCTTGCCTTGCACTTTTTAAAATCTGTCTTTTTATGTACAAATAGAATAGAAACATCTTTGAGTATTTTCAAGTTTTTTATCTTGCTGTGAGATCCTTTGTTGTTGACTGTCACTGACAGTTTTATTTACTGGTTTCTTTGTGAAGCTGAAAAGGAAGATGAATGGAATGGAAAATGCCAATTTTATTTATAAAATATGGGTCCCATAGTCATACTATGCATAAGAGAAGTTTAACAGTATTGTCGGGCAAGTAAAATGCTGGGATTGAGTCTGCAGGAGTATATACGAGAATTCTGTTTGAAACCTTTATGTTTCTTTGGATTCAGAAAATTTTCAAGGTTTTAGTTTTAGTTGCTCACTTGAATTGGAGATATTTTCATTGATTATCATGGATAAGGATATTTTAAATCACTACTGTGTCGTGCTGCGTACTCTGGGAAAAACAAAAAAGTTATTGTATTATTGGTTGACAGTGGTTGAATATGCTATTTTAATAAAATATTATAACTTAAAACTCATAGGCTTTTCAATTTTTAATTAAAGTGGATGTCTTGTATCTGCACAATGCAGTTAGATGGTGAAAAAAGGGAAAAATGAGTTTATATGTTTATTTGTACAAGTCTATTAAAAAAAATAATAACCTTATTTATTATAGATACTATATAATTGAGAATGATGGCCTTTGAATCATTACATGCAGCCCAGACCAAATTTACCAAAGTAATGAAGGGCGTTCTGGGAAGACTATAAGCTTCTTAAAGGCTGAGCTAGAGTTTTAACTTATTCTGGTATACTCACGGGCATACTGTGTTGTGATGGGCACGTAGTTGTTTAGTAAATTTTTATTGATAGAGTGTGGGGACCAGAAATGGATCGTTTGCATTATATGGTGTGGTCTGTTAGACTGGTTGGGTTTTTGTGTTGTTTTTGTTTTTGTTTTCCCCAAGGGAAAAGAAATGAAGCTGTTGAGACCACAGCTTTTCAAGCCAGAGCGTGCATTTACTAGTTAAATGAAAAGAAACAAATATGTAACCCTCTTTTCCCCCATCTCCTTACCCCCCCAAAAAAAAATAGACACTGTCTCTTGTATTTATGTAAGAGATCTTATTTTAAAAATGAGGTTGTGATGTTAAGCAGAAATGATATTTACAGCATGGTAAAATAGAACTCTGACCCCTAGAATTCTGAATCACAAAATATCAGAGATAATCTGGATCTTTGAGGCCATGTGTTGTTATTGTTCAGTCATTTCAGGCTCTTCATGACTGTATTTGAAGTTTTCCTGGGAAAGATACTGGAGTGGTTTGCTATTTTCTTCTCCAGCTCATTTTTACAGATGAAGAAATGGAAGCAAACAGGGTTAAATGACTTGCTCAAGGTCACATAGTATGTGTCTGAGGCTGAAATTGAACTCGGGATGATAGTCTTCCAGACTCCAGGCCCCAAAGCCATCTAGTCCAGCTTATATCTGAACAAGCATTCCCTTTCCAACATTCCCAATAAAGGAGTCAGCTTCCCTTCGTGTTGAGATGTTCAAATCAGAATCTACCTCATTATACTTTGATCCACCCCATTTTTCTCTACCATATCAAATATTTTGCTGATATCTAGGTGAGTTATAACTATAGTATTTCTTTTTGATGTGACTATATAATAATTCTCTCAAAAAATCAACCCACTGTTACTGAAACCTTGCTCTGTCATCACTTATTTTCCTAGCTATTCAATAAGCATCTAGAATAATCCTAGATTTCTTTTTTTATTTTTAAATTAATTTATTTTTAGCTTTCAAACATTCACTGCCATAAGCTTTTGAGTTTTAAATTTTCTTTACCTCTCTGCCTTCCCAAAGACGGCACACAATCTGATATAGGCTCTATGTATACATTCTTATTAAACATATTTTCACATTAGTCAAATTGTAAAGAATTAGAACGAATGGAAGGAACCACAAGAAAGAAGAAACAAACCAAAAAAAAAAAAAAGAATCCTAGGCTTCTTTAAAAAAAAATTATATATTTTGTTTTTATATTGCCTAAATTTCCCATCCTATCTTTTCCCTTCCCAGAAAGCTAATTTTTTTTAAAGACTAGAGGTCAAGCTCCTTGACTCATTTGCACATTTTGTTTCCTTCCTCCCTTTCTTATTTTTATTTTTGAAAACCATGATTTTGCCCTTCTTCAGACATCGTTGCCCCTATTCCCGCCATGGCTGAACAATCCCATCTACTAACTTTAGGAACCCCAGGTAGTGTCTTAAATTCACCAAAGACTGCTAGGTACTTGCAATGATTTTTCTCCTTGGCCCAAGAAAACAACAACAACAAAACTAGGAATTGAGTAGTTCTGTTTTTCCATCCCCTGGAAATAGTAATCCCATCCCTTCCTTTGATCCTGCCCTTACTTCTTATTCTTGCCCTTAAAAGCTCCTTTTGTTGATCTTGGCATTCCTCATCAGACTTGACCAGTTAGTTGCATGTTTTAGCAATGACTCTACTATTTTTACGAGATCATGACACTTGTATTACCATTACCTGTTCTCACATGCATCTTCTGAACATATCTTAAAAATCAAAATTAGTTTAAGAGTTCCATATACATCCGTGACAGTCTGTTTTAGAGAACACTTCAGAATGACATGTCTTCAGAATTTCATTCTTAAGAGTATTCCATCCTTCCTCAGCTAACTTGCCCCATACAACTTTAGGTCTTAGCATCCTTTGAACCCTTTGAAATTTGCTTACCCCAAATCTAGGATGTAGGTCAGGCTGTGGTCAAATTTGAAATTGTAGTCTCAATTTTCTCTGTAATAAAGCCCAACATTCATCTTGTGCATAATCAGGGTAGGAAGGTGGCTTCATTCCATGATTAAAAGAGCACATAAAAAGCTCTATATCTCAAAGATATTTTTCTCCCCATGTGATAGAATATGAAATTTTATAATTTTTGCTCATGTTTACAAAGTGCTTTCCTCATGGCTACAAATATTTTCCCCATTTTACAGATAATCAAAAAATATTTATTAAGTGTCTACAGGCTCAGAATAGAAGTTGGAGTGGCAAATTTTGGTTCATGTAAGGCAAATCTTTGTAATAATTAGATCCTCATGAAAGTGGAACGGATGCCTGTAGAGGCGCTAAGTTCCCTATCAGTGTAAGCATTTACATAGAAGTTGAATGAGTTGTAGGGTTGATTCCTGCATGGAGTAGGAAGCCAACTTCTGTGATTCTAAAATCAGGTAAAAAGACCCCAGAAAAGGAAGGTGAAGGATGCCAAATGTAAATAACTTATTTCACAATTGACCCTAAGGTCAGCCATGTTTTAAATACACACACACACACACACACGATAAAGGGATAGGTTCCAATGATGGCATTATAACCTAGGCTTTCTTGATGTGCCTTTCTGGCATATTAAGAATGGTACATCTTTGTGCAAAAGATAGGAAAATGTTATCCCAGTTACATTTATTATGTGTGTTCTTAAGGTTAGAGGACATGTTTCCTTAAATCTAGGAGTTGCTATCCTAATGTATTTGATCATGGATGTGGACCATCCCAAGCCATTGGCCCCGAGTATTTTTTTGCCTTTGATCCTTTTGGCAAAGACACAGGTTGCCCTCCCTATTTAGTGGGGTTACTATCTCTGGGTAATTTACCATAATAGTCCAGTGGAGATGTTTTTGAAGGGGTACATTGCTTACTTCAAATGAAACATTCTCCAAGTGTGGATTTGTCAAGTATACAGCGATATTCAAGGGTTCTTTATATACACTTGGATTTGCTGCAAGAATAGCTTTTCTGTTTTTTTTTTCCTTTGAATTCTCTTGGGTTAATTGCTACAGTTGGGATGTTCTATTATTGTGAGCACTGTTTGAACACAAATCTGTCTAAAAAAAGTTTTTCTGTGATGACTACTGGACTTTATGTCTCTGATTTCCCTGGTAATCCAATTGGGTTGCCCAATTTAATTGATTTCTATAACAAAAATACTCAGTATCGTGCATTGCTTACTCTGAGGCAGAAAATGGAAAATGGTAAAATTCTTGTTCTTATCTTGAAGACTGTGAGAGCTGAAAGAAAAGAATTTCATCTTTATGGGCCATAATTTATTCTTAAGCTGAACCTTTGGGGAATGATTTGTAAAGAGTTGGCACAACTTTAGAACATTCAAATTTTTGTTTCCTAAATAATGCCTTTTAAATTGGTTATTTTAAATTCAGTACTTAAATGGATTTGTGTTCTGATCACTGTGGAAGTAGATGACCTCTCCAGGGTTGCAGATCATACTCCTTCCATCCTTATCCATCCTGTGCAACTTTTGTCCATGTCTTCCCATAAATTCTTCCCAGGGGATGCACATAGTATGCTGTGGTCTTTTCTTGATTTCTGCTGACATGACTCAAGGATACTCAAGTGTATCTCTTTCAATAATTCATTTCTTTTACTCTTAACTATTTTTCATAGTTCCCTATCTGTTATATTATAAATAGCCTGCTCATACCCATCTTGCATGCTTCCATTGCTTTCTGAATGATAGTTTTAATTCTTGAGAGATCATAGTGTGTGCCATGACATTTCAACAACACTGGTAGAATATTAGCTTTTAAAAGATGACTTCATTTTAGGGAAATTTGGCTGAAGGAATTTTCTGCAGTTTCTGATGAGCAATCCTGCCTTCCCACCTCCTCCTGTATAATTTGCAGTCTCTGTCAAAGATTTACTGGTAAATAAGCTCCATAAGTTATCCATGTAACATCATTATCATAGTCTGGACAATAGACATTCTTCAACCACTTGATTGGATTTTTTGTTTGTTTTTTTGTGGAAATGATAATACCTAACTATTTTGAATATTGGTAGAGCTCATCCAGGAAATGATGTGGTATTCTGGAACTTGTTCAAAACAGTACAAGATCATCTTCAAATAGGACCATCTGTTGGAAATCTTTTTACAACTTTGATTCCAGACTGCTCCATGATGGTGTCAAACT